ACAAATAGGTGATTGCCATAGGGGAGGTGGGTAGGAGATGGGTGAAATAGATGAAGCGGATAAAGAGGTACAAACTTCCAATTATAAAATAAATTATGGGATGAAAGGTACAGCATAGGGAATACAGTCAATAATACTGTAATAACTCTGTATGATGATAGATGTAAATAAATTTCTCATGGTGAGCATTTCATAATGTATATGTGTCCAATTACTGTTGTACATTGAAATTAATATGATATTGTATGTTAACTATACCTTAATAAAAATAATTTTTAATAAATTCATACTATACATATTAAAGCAAGATGAATAAGGATAATGAGAAAATTAAAAGTCACCATAATGAAAAGACAGATTATCTACAAAAGAAGGATAATTAGGTTGAAAACAAACATCAGTGATGAGAGATGGCAGGAAAAAAAAGTATCTTTAAACTGTTGATGAAAAATAAGTCAATCCAGAATTCTATATCCAACAAACTATCATTCAATAATGAGGGAAATATTTTTATCAGTCATTTTCAAAGAGTTTACCACCAACTACCCTCATTGAGAGAACAACAAAGTGAGAAGGGAGAAAATGGGTGGCCACAGCTATTGCCTAAATATATTGGTAAATGTTATTACCTAACAATTATAAAGTGTTAATATTTAAAAGAAAAAAGATAGGACTAAAGGTCTAGAAAACACTAGAAGGAAGATGGGAGTATTTTAATTATTAGAATGTTCTAAACCTCTCATGTTATTTTGGAAGATAAATATACTAAATAAATTTACACCATGTTATAAAATAACATAAATTAAGAAAACATGTATTTAAGGCCAGTCAACAAATTAATAGAAATATTATGTATGACTTCCACAATGTGTTGGAGGAGTCAGGGAGAGGATAGTGAGAAATTTATCAAGACAATAGAAAACCAAAAAGAAGAGAGAATGTTAAGGTAAATGAAATAATCCAACTATAAAGCAAAGATTACAGAATGGACAAAAATTAGCAAAATTATGTGCATCATGGGTCCAATGGTATAATTCATGCATGTGCAATACACACACACACACACACATACACACACACATGCACCAGATACAAATATACCAAAATTTTAACTTTATCATCGGATTATGGAATTATGGATAAATACATTTTCTTTACATTTTTCAATGTTGTCTGATGTTGTTATGCTTGAACTCAATTCATTTAAAAATCATATCAAAGAGTTATTTTTTAGAAAGCCATTGGTTGCATTTGAATTGAGTTAATAACATCACTTTATCTTTCCTCAAACAAAAAAAAGAAAAACATTTCGTTCCTAAATATCAGAAATCTGCCATTGTAAACATAATAGCTACAAACGAATACAAATCAATACAAAGAGGTTTCAAGACTGGTTTTTCCTACATATCTCAGGACACGGACATTACTTCAACTTGAAGATACTGTTAATGAATTTTAAACATTTTCAAGCCAGGTTTAAAAGCTGGGGTTTGAGGGGGTGGGAGGTAGAGGGTATAGGGAAGAATTTGCATGAGAACATTCTTGTCCAGTTCCGGTAACTTAATTACTCAGTGTTCTGTACAAGTTGAGTTGATTTAAGTCATGTGGCAAGTGCTACAATTTCTAACCCAGAACGGAAGTCATCATTTGGCGTGACTTCATCAAGAATAGCTGCTGACAGACCGAAGAGATCAAAAGCCGATCAGGTTGCTTAACAGACTACATGTCACTGAGCTCAGAGCCGAGGGAGCACCCTGAGTTGCTGTGGAAATCTTGGGAACAAGTACAGAAACAAAACACAAAGGATGTTCTTATAAAATGCTAAAATGAGATTCAGTTGTCTAATCAAAATATCCAAGCCATAACATGTTATTTCTCAGTCTTTACTTAAAAATAAAAATTAAGTTTCTGAGCAGAAGCAAAGTTTTAGAACCAGAGGATGAGTAAATAAATGGTTATAATAATCAGCCTTTATCAAACTAATTGCACTATTTATTCTGTTTTCCTTATTATGAATATTCAACATTTATTGGTAATTACATAGAAATAAAAAAAAAAAAAAAAAAAAAAAAAGACAGGCTATGTGAATCTTCTTAAATGATTACCTAACTTGACCCCATAGAAGGAATCATTTTTAATAGTCTACATTTACTAAAGTAGATATTATTTTAAACTAATTATGACCAAAATAACATAACCTAATAATCTCCCATTTGACTCCCATTTAGATCAATGTATGTATGTATCTCACTCCAAAGAGGGACATGTGGCAGTTTTATTTTATGCCTTGTAGATATGAGATGGTACATACATGCTAAATCTATCCCAGAAATTGAATGTAAATTTCAGTTCATAAGATTTCCTTCCTTATGGCATAAAACATCTTATTTTCCATGGAAAAACTCAAATTTTAGAAAACAAAAAAAAAAGGTTTGATTAAATAATGATTTTTGTCAGTTTGTAAAGGATACCTAAGAGTGTGACAACCTTACAAATAGCTCTTCAAGCTATTGTAATAGCTCATTTTACAAAAACAGTAGCATAAAATTACATTACTTCATGAATAGCTCATTTTACAAAAATAGTAGCACAAAATTACATTATTTCATGAACTACCGCTTCATTTCCCCACCTTTACTGTAACTTCCTCAGAGCAAATGCCATGCATCTGTTATTAACAGAGTCCCAGGTTTCTACTACTTAGTGTGTTCCAAGAGAACCTACCAGATACTATGTGAAAAGAGAGCTTTGTGATCAAATAAATTGGGCAACTTTTGCCAACTTTTCTTTCAGAGAACACTGTGAATTTTTTTTTAATTCTCTTTTAATTCACTTGGTAATGTAACCCCCCATTTCTAGGGTACCAAACACACCTATGGACAAATTTGAGAAAATACTGTGCTAGGGAAATGCTATAGGTGCTAGTTGAGGGAATAGGCTTTTCCCTTATAAAAAGTGTAAACCATTGGGTTAAAATCATCACCTTCCTAACCTTCTGAGGGACTCAATATTGCTAAGCTGTTTCTTCAGTACTGAACCTTCGTAGTTACCACATTGCTGGAGAAGACAGATCTGCAAGAGGACACAGTCTTCAGAGCATTGACTGCTCGTCCTTTTCAATCCCATTATCTGGTGTGTGTTAGTTCTCTTTTTAACTCTAAGTCTTGTGAGAACTTGCCATTTTCAGGGCTACATATATATTTAATAACTACAGTAAGAAAGCATGTAGACATGAAAAATAAATGAGGTAACATTCTGAAGTGATAACCAGATGAACCCAAAGCAAACATAAATTCCCCAGAAATAATATTACCATTCCTCTGGTTTATCAAATCACCTGCAAACCATGAAATTCTACTTTGCAAAACTGAATTGTTGATCAAAGTGGGAAGTACTTTCTAGATAACCCAGAAATGCCCCAACACCACACTGGGAAGAGAGAGAGTAGAATTTCATAAGCAAACCAGAACACCTTGCATAATTTTGAAGTATGATAAATACTATACATAAGTGGATTGGCTTTTTATTGCTTTAAGAAATCATACTTAAGTATATAGTAATGTAGTATTATATAAACATAATATAGTTTTATTTACTTATTTTTTTAAACAAGGCTGTCATTCTTGGGCTTGATTAATGAGCACCATATCTGAGGCTCTAAGGAGGAACGAAAGAGTGACAGGATTTCAGATCTCAACAGTGATGATTGTCTTTTGGGTACCTGCAGCACCTAACAATTGCCTAACATGCCCCAGGGCCGTAATAAATATTTACAGAGGAGACTGTCTTTTCCCATTGCATATTCTTGCTTCCTTTGTCATATATTAATTGACCATATAAACATGGGTTTATTTCTGGTACAATAATCTCTATGTCTGTTTCTGTGCCAATACCATACTGATTTAATTACTATAGCTTTGGAGTAATTTTGAAATCAGGGAGTGATATTTTGTTCTTCTTTCTCAAGATCCCTTTGGCCATTCGGGATCTCTTGTGGTTCCATACAAATTTTAGGATTGTTTGCTCTATTTCTATGAAATGCCACTGATATTTCGATAAGGATTGCATTGAATCTGTAGATTGCTTTGGGTAATGCAGATATTTTAAGAATATTAATCCTTCTAATCTATGAGCATGGAATATCTTTTCATTTACTTGCGTCATCTCCAATTTCTTTCATCAATGTCTTATAGTGAGAGTCCAGTTCTTCACCTCCTTGGTTAAATTTGTTCCCAGTATTTTATTCTTTTTCATGCAATTCTAAATGGAATTGTTTACAAAATTTCTCTTTCTGATAGTTGGTTGTTAGTGTATAAAAATACAACAGATTTTTGTATATTTGTTTGGTATCCCGCAACTTTACTGAATTCATATATCAGTTCTAATAGATTTTTTGGTGGAGTCTTTAGGGTTTTCTATACATAAAATCATATCTGCAAATAGGGACAGTTTTACTTCTTCCTTTACAATTTGGGTGCCTTTTATTTTGAATGTTTTTTAATTTAAAAATTTGGAGGATTTCAGAGTCTCTTCAAAATTATTTGGTATAAGGCTCCTTAAACATTATACACATGTGGGTATTTTTTGCCAAGTATGTGAAAGAAGATATTTTGCTTCCGGGAAAGTTCTCAAGCCACAAAATCTTGGGCAAGTATACCAAGGGAGGATGGGGAGGGACTATTTATGTTTTAACAATGATATGATAAATGTACGAATGTTCTTGGCTATAAAGTGGAAAGAAGATGATCACGTTTGCTCCTGATGAAAGAGATTGCCATTCAAATGCCCAATACATGATTCAATGACTAACTTTCTAATACACATAGCTCTTTAAAGAATAAAAGAGTAAGATCACTGGTAAAATTTTTCTTTTGCCACATTCAAACATTTTTAGTTCTACAAGGTGATAAAAGACTTAACTTTTTTCAAAAACACTGAAAAGTCTGTCCTCTCTCACTAAAAAAGGATAAGTAACAAACATGAGTTTAAGATTATGCTACCTTTCAAGTCTTTCTTTAGTTTTCTGAGATCTTTTTGAAAATCTTCAAACTTCATCTGTGAAGCCTGAAACAGGTCTTGGGGTTCTGGTAGTGGAAAGACACACTGTTCTTTTCCAGCATCCTGATTAGCAAGAAACACATAATTTTTAAGAAAATCAGCATCAATATAATGAAGACCAATACAACAGCAGTAATGGCAAAAAACAACAAACACTGCCAAATCACTCAACAATAAATAACAAAATATGACTATGTTAAAATTGTCTTACCTCATCAAAATTTCGAAGATAATAGGAAACAATGTATGACAAAAGGCTTCTGCTATTGTCCTAGGTGGAAAGACCAAAGTCATTAAAAATATATTATTAAAATTATTAAATATACAGTGTTAAATAAATTCCATTGAATCTGCATAATTGGATGGGAACATTTAGAATAAAATGTGAAATTCTATATTTCAAGTTACTTCAGTCATTATATCTAAAGAGTTTAATGGCATGGATGATTTTATTTTTACCCAGCATTCCAATCTGAGCTTCATGTGGGAACATAGCTGTTTAAGGATGGAGTCTCAGCTCTAAATATGGTCCTGCTTTCACCTGCCTTGATCAGAAAATTAGTCCATTAATTTTTATGTTTTATTACTAAAAGATGTAACTACTATCTTAACCAAAATGATGAAATATTGTCAGCATTTCTATACACCTGGACCGGTGCTTATCACTCCAACATAAGTTTGAGACTTTGTTAGTATATAGATTAGAGAAATAAAAAAATTAAGTATTATTTCAAGTAAGCAGGAGCTTTAAAAATACAAATACATATTATAAATTGTATGTCAGCAAACAATATCCATGCATCTATAGATAATGCGACGTGTAGTATAGTTTTATAGTTCTATAGAAAAAATGTAAAATTGTTTCATATCTAAAAGTGTTCAAAGAACAGCTTTTCATCTCCTTTCTGACACATTTAAAGGCATAAATTTTTAATTTTTTTTGCATTGTTCAAGATTAGTACTAGATAATCTGAATGTGGAGACCAAAGATGTATTTTAAAAACAAGCCCTGTGGCACAACTACATTCCTTAGAATATTCAATCTAGCGTATCCATAAAAAGCAGCAAAGTCCATTTATAATTGAGCTTGATACGATATGGTAATATATCAATTAGAGACTTCCCTCATAGGAATATATAGTAATAATATATTACATAGTAATATAGCAACAATAATTAAAGTTATCACAAAAAATAAATGATAAAACTTTTTATTAGAAACAGGAGTTGCTTGTAAAATGATTTAAGTAACTGGACTTCCTTTTTCTTTCCTATCTTGTAAAACAGAAATGGTTAGCAATACCTGAATCAGTAACAATGCATGTATTAAATGCCTGCCAATAGGTATACTGAGTTAAAATTCTAAGCAGTCACATTACTAGCTCCATCCACTTAGGTCTACAAATAAAACTAGAGAGTAGATACAATTATATTTGTTTTATAGAGAAAGAATCAAATCAGGAAGATTTTGCATAGCTCTTGTGTGCATGCAAGTAATATTACAAAAAATGATCTTGCTTCTTGATTCATATTTCATTTTTATCTAGATTGTCTCTTAATTACTTAAGGTAATGAAATTTAACTTATTGGAATATTAAATAAGATGTATCAACAAATGCAAACAAAAAACACCAAATTATCCCTGATTCATATATAATTATGACCATCAGAATCCATTTCAGATCCATTTTTTGCAAGTTAAACATTAATGCTATTTATACTACAATGCTATTTGCAAAAGTGAGTTATTTTACTCCAACTATCAGTTGGTAAAAACTATTCAAGAACAGTATGTGAATCACGTATTTAGAGGAGAGCTTTTATTTTTGAACCGATGTGATTTATCAGGTTGACATATTGGAGATTCCTATGAAAATGTGTATCATGCAAATAGTATAGCATTTGAACTACTATAACCATAAAAACCACAAAATTATATACTGGTGTTCCAAGGAAGGATAATTTTATTCAGTCTTGTGAGTGCCTGGTATTTTATAGAAGCCCAATGAAGGAATGTGAAATGAATGTAGGAGGAGATGTATGAATGAACAAACAAGTTTTTGACTGACAAAAAAGTACAAAAAAGTATTTTTCTTATGAGGGAGATTATTTCATTGTCTAGGAAAGGTAATTCTATGTATTTTCATTTCAATAAGCCAATTGCTTACTTAAACAGTATTTTAAAATCATGTCCTTCATCATACAGTTCTTTGTGGAGACTGTTCTACCACAGACACAGAATTCTATTATTTTCTAAGTTTATAATCTCAGACTTTAACTCTGACCATCATAATTGTTTCCCTCATCTTCTATTTCCATGGACACTCTCCAAATCCCTTAGATGTTAATTTTAAATGAACACACCCACAGAAGTAGGACCAAAAAAATAATGAAGCCAGCAGAAGGTTTTGGACATTCCCACACATACCAGTATCAAGGAGAGGATAATATGTAGAAAAACAGGTTTGCCTTTGATATTTTATTTACAAGCTACTTTCACTCATCTGTTTTGTTTTTAAAACATGGGCCTTTTGGTCTCCACTGCTTAACACAGAAGAGAAGAAGAAAGTAATGGATATACTCTCTAATTTACAGAAATGAATTAGTCCTCAAAGTACAAAAAGATAAATATTATCAGACACGGTAAAGATAGAATGAAAAAATAATGATTTTTATTTTACAATATCTTCTAATCAACTATTTATTAGACATAGGATTCAAAATCACTCATTTTGGGAAATATTATTATTTACAAAATCACAAATACATGATGGCCATTGCTTTTATCTAGCTCAGAACATTAACTTTTGACCCTGGAACATTAAGAAACATTTATCACAACTCGTGTTTAGTCAAACTTACTAGGAAACCAAATGTCTAATCCTCAACGTGCCTACATACATTAACATGAAATACTTACACTGCTTTTGACATCTTTCAGCTTTGGAAGGATGTCTAATCCAAAGCCATCTGCCTGTCCCCGAGTCTTATTTCCACCATTCATGTAGTTGCCAAATGCAAGAACCAAGCCCAGAATCTGCATGACCCCTGGGCCATTTTTTAGCGTCTGTAAAACAGGAGGAAGACCATTTTCTCTCTTATTCAATGTTTTGTTTGAATTATCTTAAGACAGTGGCAGATGTTGATATTATACAAGTCATGTGGGGTCGCATCCCAACTTTATCGTTGCTCATGATTAGGTATGTGTCCTATGGGGCAGTGTGTCCAAAAGTGCATTTTAAGAAGTTGTACCTCCAACAGGCATTCAGGTGTGTTTTGTAAGCTGACAGATAACCAGAGAGACTATTTCTATGATGCAAGCAACACAAATAAGGCTGTAAAATGAGAAGTACTACAAAAAGTTGTGACTGCCATCATTCTAATTGTACATATCTCTGGTGCAATGCAAACTGGCACAAACTGTGGGAAACAAAAGAGCCGTTTTGAAGATTCACTTCCAAATTCAGATTCCTCTGTGAAAAGTTCACACTCACTACGTCCAAAACACAAAGCTTAACTTGAATTTGCATCACTTCCTCTGAAAATGTGTCTTTAATCACATCTTAATACTTTTCACAATGATTTACCACAACCACGACAAATGGTACTATTGATTTTTGACAAATTGTCTGAAACGTTAATATTAGTAATTTCTGCCAGCATTTATTCTTTGTGTGGAGAAGCACATTTATCTTGTTGAGTCATACAGCTGTCCCTACATCATTTGGTTTGAATCATTAACAATTTGTTGAAGGGCCCTTCCAGAAACAAAGGCAAGTAAATAAAATGTCTTCAAAATTCACTCAGTTGAATGTCTGATGTTTGAGAGGACCATGAAAAGTGAAGATTTTCGTTTGGCAAAAGCAGAAGGGACAAAAACCTCCAGAACTGGGCCTGTGATGGCTGAGCTCCAGCACGGCTTTCTGAACATGTGCTTTGATCTTTAAGTTCTATCACACTATGTTCTCTTCTGTGGGAGCGCTAGCCTCCAACTCTTAGGCACACTCAGAGTAAATAAAAGAAAACTTTTTTTTTTCACTACTGAAAAAAAAATACTATGTTTCACTACTGTGTTTCACTTCTGAATACAATAAAATGTCAGAACCCAAGCTTCAGCTCCCCGCAGACCAGAACCCACCTCACACAACTTCTGCAGCAATTCCAGTTTGCGCCGAATTGAGCAAATGCTTTCTGAAAACGTGGACTGGAACAGGATGCAAAAGACTCGCTCTGAAAAGTTGGGGATTAGTGATAGTTCATAAAGGAACCTAAGGAAATAAAGCCAAGTTAAGAGGAAAATATAATTCATACAAACAGATGCTTATCCTCACAGCATTCACAATAATTATGCATAGAAGACACTGCACTTTCCAAATGGAAAGGAAGTGCCCCTGGCCTGGGTGCCCTCGGTAGGGTCCTAAGTGCACTTACTGCTCAGGTTTGTCCAGAGACTTGGCGTTTTCCTTGTCTTTTGAGGACCGGCCATGCTTTTCAATTTTTTCCAGTTCATCTGACTGTGCTCTCTGGAAAAACACATGCCAAGCAATCTTTCAAAATCTGGTGGATTGAATCCCTTAGATAACGATGATCTGAATACAGCACAACTCTATATATTTTCATATTTCTTACCATCTGGTTGCAGTAAAGCTTGACTGAATTCATGAGGCATTTTAAAGTGTAAATATGTTTAATGTAAACCAGATTACCTTCCAACCTTCCAAATAATGTTATTGACTATTAGTGATCTGCAAAACATTTATTTATTCAAGCATGCTTTAAAACAATATAGTCTCCTTTCTTGTTTTTGGCTGTTTTTAATACTCTTAGAATACAAGAATTTTATTTTAAAGTGGTATTTCTTATTCAGAAATTAATCAAGTTAAATTTGGAAGTCGTTTGATCCTAAAGTTATAAGACTTTTAAAGGAAAAAAATTATTTATTACAATCATTGCGTATGGTTATTTTTTTTTAGAGGTAAGAAAAATACAATTATTAAGTCATGAAACAAAAATTAAAGGTTTTGATTCTTGCACTTTTTGATACAAAAATGACTCCAGGTTTCTTTTCTTCTAAAGTACCTACTTTCACCCTTTATTCTCAAGCTAAAAAATCTGCCATCCTAAATTTGTTTCTTTAGTGGAGAGGATCTTTTGCTTTTTTAGCCCAAGGTAGAAGATTTTATAGATTTAGAAAAGTACAAATCTATTCTTTATGGAGAATTTGGATAATTTTTATTTGTAATCTTGTCTTTATTTTACAATTCACAAAGATGTGCAAAACAGCCAAGTACTACATTTTCTAAATGTTTTCAGAAGTGTGAGTAGACCACATCTTGAGTTTGAGTTTAGTCCTTAGAACTTAAAACCTTCAACGCTATTTTTTGTTTAAACAGAAAAGCAGCTCAACCAAGAACTGTTATGTAAGAACCTGATAGACTCCTAAAGTCTAAAGATTTCATCTAAACAAAGCTATGCTCTGTTTTGTATTCACTGACTGTTTTGAAATGCAGGTTTTCGATTGATGGGATTAACTAGCAAAGACTAGTTCCTCAAAGGAAGCTTCTTTTAACAGGGGAAGATGTGATGACAGGTCAGTAGGTCTTGGAGGCTTGATAAATTTTGCTTCTGGAATGGAATGTAACAAAAGGATCCAAAGTAAAGGAGGTACATTTAGTGCAAATATCTCAAGCAACCCCCCAAAATTTAGAACTTTCTTCTACAGTTGCAACTGCACAGTAATTTACTTTTTTTCTCCAGTTTATTTGGCCTTGCCCAAGAATCTGGGGGGAGTAAACACCACCTCATTTACTTATAGTTTCCACCTGTAAGAGTTAGCCCCACAAATACTATCCTAATATGTCAGAAAGCCAAATAACAGGATGGCCTTTAGTAATGAGCACACCCATCTTTTTGGCCGGTGAGTGACCTGGGTAATATTATAAAGGAACATTAAAGTTAAGAATACTGATAAGGCAAGGGTTGGCTTAAGAAAATATAAAAGCTTCCTATCACTATAATCTATTCTTTTAAAGGAATGAGAGCGTCTACAAGAGAATTAAGTCTACTATGTCAAGCCCAACCACATTCAATACCCAAAACCTTACCAGTACAAAAAAAAAAAATCCAACTACTACAATCTGATGAGGTAATTATGTTTATTGCTTTATCTTTTGTGTTGTGAACCTCTGATACCTTGACAGACTCAACCTAGTTGGGTGCAGTACTATAGAGTCATCCCCAAATTATTTGGTACATATAAATTACTAATCACATACTCTTTCTACATAAACTCTCTTGGACCATTCCTACTGACTTTAGAAAGAAAGCTGCCCTGGCCCAACAGTGCTGGTTTACAGCTAGTAGAGGGAGACTAACTGCCACTCTATCCACATCCCATGATCCATCCCCACACTGAGAGGCACAGAACTTTCAAATTCTGTTGTATGTCATCTTATCCTATTAAAAGTAAAATCAATTTTTAAAAAATGTCACTACCCATCTTACCAGAAAAGTCCCCAAATATAGAGAAGCTGTCAAGCTCATGGTGGCAGATAAAAGATTTCCAAAATTCAAATGTTTGCTTCAGAACTTGAATTTTATCTTTGGCAAAAAATACTGTTGGCCATTTTCTTTGAAGTGTTCATTTGTTCATTTTCAGGAAAATGTCTACCAAATATCAAGGCATTAATAACCACAATTTGCCAGTCAGATTTTCAAACTGAAAAGGGGTTCAGTGAAAAAGGGGCTAGTTTCATTCACAACTTTAATGATCACAAAGAACTTTTTATCAAAATAACTACTGTACTGTGTTATGCTACAGAAATGCTTTATACGTATATACTTTCCTTTTTGTCATACAGTATTAAAAAGACATATGCTCAAGAGTTGAGTTTTTAAAAGAAAAAAAGAGAAAAACTCCAGTTTTAATAAAATTGGTAATTCTCACTGTTTACCAAAGATACTCTTAAATGAAGCTGGCTTTTTTCTTTTCATTCTTCTTTTTCCTGCGAGTGCGTGGCAGTTGAGATTTAACACAGTGCTACTGCCTTGATTCATGTTGAAGCACCAGAATTGTAAGCTTCCGTTGCTTTTGAAGCATCAGCACTAATGTTTAACACTGTCAAAAGGGCAAATACCATCTCAGTGTTATTATGAAAATAGTTTTTATCTTGCAGACTCCCTTGGGGAAAAAAATATAGGAATCCCTGGGTGTCTGTGGAGATTTTGGAAAATGACATTTGGAAAAACCTTCCTATCCAGCCGACTATTAAATTATCTTCAGTACTCACCATACTCAAACACCTCTAGTGACAAAAATTCATTGTCTCCCTAAACTGGTCACAGTTTTAAAGAAGTCCAGAAACAAAACCCAAACCAGCTCTTTTATATTAAACAAAAATGTTCCCTCTACTTTCAGACATTGGTTCTGTGTCTACTCTCTGGGGTCATTTCCAAAGTTCTTCCTAATATTTGAGTAAACCCAAATTTTCCTCCTTTGTCTTCTGAGCTAAGTACTCCGGTTCTATAACAAATCATATGGGACGAATGCGAGTCCCATCACTGCCATGCTTGCTGCTGGGAGTATGTTTCTGAGGACTTACAAATGGGCACACATAGTAGAGAGCCATTCTCCCAAGTAGTGTCTGATTCTCAATTCCATCATTCCAGAAAGACTGCTTCTGTGAGTGCAGCCCAAAATTGAGGACAATATTTGGGGGATCCCTACATCCTTGAAGTTATCAGAAGTCTAAGACTTTTGAATTATTTTTTGTATGCATAGGCTCTATTCTGTTTCTCCTACTCTGATTATTTTGGATTCAAACATAATAACACATTATTTATGTTAATTATTTCTATATTGAAAATCAACTATTCTATGATTCCTATAGCTTGGGATCATGATTTTGTCATTTTCTTGGGAAAAAATACTTTGGGCTAGCATAGTATGAGAAAGCTTCATAAAGAAAGAGAAATGACTATGCTGATGGACAGTGACTGTAATGGGGTACGTGGTGGGGACTTGATAATGGGGAGAATCTAGTAACCACAATGTTGCTCATGTAATTGTATATTAATGATACCAAAAAAAAAAAGAAAGGGGATGAGATCTGTGTTTTGAAGACTAGACTAGCTCTAGATAGATGGAGAGCTAACCCCATTAATTTGTCTCTAAATTTGCTCTGCACCTTGCATTCGCAGTCATTGAAGGCACAGGCATCTACCCAGTGACTCACACCATCACACCAGATCTTCTGTCTGGAATATGCACCATTCGCTCTGACTCACTGCTCTAGGTTTGACTTAGGTCTAACCTTCCTGTGATGTCTGCCCTGACTAACCACCTTTATCCTCATTGTAATTAGTCTCTCTCTAGAATGATAACACAGAACCCTATATTTGCTGTGTGTTATGCTATATTATCACTATATCTTACAGGTGATACACATACATGTTTACTTCTCCTACTGACTGGAGCTTCTTTTGGAGAAGAGCCATGTCTTTCTTACGTATCTCTATGGTCCTAGGGACCAGTGTGGTTCATGATATACAGTTAGTAGTCAGTAATTTTTTTAAACACTGAAAAATTAAGTCAGTTATTGAATAGGACAAACGAAGCCCTCTAAGTCAAGGGGTAAGAAAGAAGCAAAAAGAGGAAGGAGAAAGACAGGACAGTGTAAAAATACTGAGGATATAATGATGTGTAAATAATACCAACTGTTTATCAGCATTCCAAGAGTATAATGAAGGTCCTTATGGGAGAATTTGAACTTCAAACAGCTAACTGCATGTGTGAGAAGAATTAGTCCCTTCAAGTGCTAGTTCACAAATAGGTAAGTAAAAAATAAGAAAGCTATGCTCAGGAAAGGTACATATGGATTCACTACACACACATTCTTTCAGCACAACTCTTGTGCACCTTTTGTTCATCTTGTATGCAGGGATAGTTGTGTGTGGAAAAGTACAAAAGTAGGACAAAACATAAAAGGTTTTTAAGCGATGTCCATCAACTCTGCAAGATTCTGCTTCATTAATAGACCATGACTAACTGTTTCTTGCTCACCACCATGGCTTTCTCCTTGTAAAACACGAGAGATCAAGCAAAGTCAGTTATTTTCTACCTGCTAGGGCCCCAAATTCTTACTCTTATCAGCAACCATACAACTTATGTCAAACTAGTGACTATAAATTTGTACCAGGATACAGACGCCATGTGGATACTTATGACTTTGTTTGACCTTCAAAGTAAATTTAGTCTCAAGTGTTCTTGTCTGGTCCACCAGTTTGAGGTAATCATCAGGGTCAGGTTTTAAAAAAAGAGGAATTTTAGGGATTCACTCATCCATTCATTTAAGGGCCTATTGTTTACCCAGCATTACACCAGACACTGGGGATAAAAAGAAATATGTTGGGTGTCAGATTCAAGCAAAATCCCCCAGCACAACGTACCAGGTTGTTCATAACACCACTCTTACTTGCTTAACTTTTCTAGAATGACCTTCTGCTGCTTTTTTAAACTGTATGT